CCCCCCCCCAGCTTTTTCTAATATTTATTTTTGAGAGGGAGGTGGGAAGGGTAGAGAGAGAGGGAGACAGAGAATCCAAAGCAGGTTCCAGGCTCCGAGCTGTCGGCACAGAGCTCGACACAGGGCTTGAACTCACAAACCATGAGATCGTGACCTGAGCTGAAGTTGGACGCTCAACTGACTGAGCCACCCAGGCACCCCCCCCCCTCCAATGACTCTTACCCTTGAAGAAACATTGATGTTCAGAATATTTTAACCCAGGCATGAGCCAATCAGAGTAATCTCTGGCCAGTGGTCCACTTCGGGGAAATGGCTTTATCTGAACCCAGCAGAAAAAAAGTTGTCGGTATTCTCCAGACCAAAGCTTCATCAGGAAGATTTTAGATACTAAAGTTCATAATGTTTCCTGAAGCAGGCATAAATTAATAGTTATTGGATACTAAGTATTAAGCTGAGGTTTATTGGACACCTTTACCTAAATCATAGATTTCGTTTTTCAGAGCAAGCCTATCACCATATAGATCTTACGGGTGAGAGAATTTAGTTAATGTGCTGTAATCATTTGTGAAATAATGAATTACCACACATTGTGGTTTAAAAACAATATGAATTATTATCTTATAGTTCTGGAGGTCAGAGTTTCAAAATGGATCTTAATAGGCAAAAGTCAGGGTGTTGGTAGAGCTCTGTTCTCTTTGGAATTCTGGGGGACAATCGATTTCCTTGCTTTTTGCAGCTTCTAGAAGCCACTTGCATTCATTGGCTTGTGGCCTCTTGCTTCATCTTCAAAGATGGCAGCACAGCTCCTTCAAGCCTTTCTCTGGGTAACGCTGCCACCTTCCTCGAACAAAGATCCACATGTGTTTAAATTGAGCCACCCACATATTCCAGAATAATTCTCCATCTTAACAGTCTTCATTTTTTAAAAATTTTTTAATTTTTCAAAAATTTAATTATTTATTTATTTATTTATTTATTTATTTTAACATTTATTTATTTTTGAGACAGAGAGAGACAGAGCATGAACGGGGGGAGGGCCAGAGAGAGAGGGAGACACAGAATCTGAAGCAGGCTCCAGGCTCTGAGCTGTCAGCACAGAGCCTGATGCGGGGCTCGAACTCACGGACCGTGAGATCGTGACCTGAGCGAAGTCGGACGCTCAACCGACTGAGCCACCCAGGCGCCCCCAAAAATTTAATTATTTAAATTCAAGTTAGTTAACATATAATGTTGTATTGGTTTCAAGGGTAGAACCCAGCGGTTCATCACTTCCATATAAAACCCAGTGCTCACCCCAACAAGTGCCCTCCTTAATACCCATCACCCATTTAGGCCATTCCCCATGCACCTTCCCTCCAGCAAGTCTAGGTTTATTCTCTATAGTTAAGTCTCTTATGGTTTGCTTCCCTTTTTTTCCCCTTCCCCTATGTTCATCTAATTTGTTTCATAAGTTCCACATATGAGTGAAATCATATGATGTTTGTCTTTCTCTGACTGGCTCATTTTGCTTAGCATAATACCTTCTAGTTCTATCCACATTGTTGCAAATGGCAAGATTTCATTCTTTTTGACCACTGAGTAATATTTCATTGTATATATGGACCACATTTCTGGATTCTTAACCACATCTTCAAAGACCTTTTTTGTTTTTTAATTTAGTTTTATTTTTTTTAATGTTTATTTATTTTTGAAAGAGAGAGAGAGAGAGAGAGAGAGAGAGAGAGAGACAGAGTGCCAGCAGGGGAGGGGCAGAGAAAGAGGGAGACACAGAATCTGAAACAGGCTTCAGGCTCTGAGCTGTCAGCACAGAACCCGATGTGGGGCTCGAACCCACGAACTGTGAGATCATGACCTGAGCTGCAGTCAGATGCTTAACTGACTGAGGCACCCAGGCGCCTCAACTTTCTTTATTTTAAATAAAAAATTTATTTAGAGGGAGAGAGAGCGTGAATAGGGCAGAGGGGCAGAGGGAGAGAGAGAGAGAGAGAGAGAGAGAGAATCTCAAGCAGGCTCCATGCTCAACATGGAGACTCATGAGGGCCATGATCCCATAGCCTTGGATCATGAGCTGAACTGAAGTCAAAAGTTGGATGCTGAATTGACTGAGCCATCCAGGCACCCCTCTTAAAGACATTTTTAAATTTTTCTCCATGTAAGGTAACATATCCACAGGCTTGGGGATTAGGACGGGGAATCTTTGAGGGGCCAATATTCTGCCTACCATATACACGTAAAGTTAAACAACTACCGGCTATAAGACTTGTGTTTGAGTTGAGAGTATTTTGCTCCAAAGGCCATGTTCTTTCACACAATCTTTTATGTTTCCTCACATTGAATACATCTGTCATCCATTCTGTTGTCAAAACCAGAAAGGCCAAGAAAAGTGGGGCAGAGGTAAAGTAGGACTAAATACTTTTCATGAGGTTTTGCTGTTTCCTATAGTTTCTTATCAGTGAGCTGTTCCAACAAAACAAAATCTGTTACAATTATTTTTACATTAGTCATTTGAGAGAGTCCCTTCTATTGAGTAGTGACGGGAACCTTGAAGGGCTTTTTCGCCACAGCCAGACAGTCACTCATTTGTGCTTTTAAATATATGCCTCATTTTAAAAAATCTTGTTCGGGAAAAGAAAAAAAAATCCTTTTTTTCTAAGTGAAATTTGAAATAACTGTCTGGGTACTCTGTCTTTTCACCGTGTAAAAACATGCCAGTGTATCGTGTATAGGGTAACACCTGTTAGACACAGGATTTGATAAGAAGAGTGAACAGAATCCTAGGGCTTATAAGTCATGAAATTCACATAGTTTATTTATTTATTTTTTTTAATTTTTTTATTTTTTCAACGTTTTTATTTTTTATTTTTGGGACAGAGAGAGACAGAGCATGAACGGGGGAGGGGCAGAGAGAGAGGGAGACACAGAATCGGAAACAGGCTCCAGGCTCTGAGCCATCAGCCCAGAGCCCGACGCGGGGCTCGAACTCACGGACCGCGAGATCATGACCTGGCTGAAGTCGGACGCTTAACCGACTGCACCACCCAGGCGCCCTTATAAATTTTTTTTTTTTTTTTTTTTTCCTCAAGAGGAGCTGTTTCAGAAACAGAAACTGAGAGGGTTTTTTGTGGCTTTTTGACTAACAAGGTCAACGTTTGACCTTTACTGACTATGGAGGGTCTTAGTTTCAAACTAGTTCCTCAGATCATTTAATCATGGCCATCTATCAGTAACTGAATGTAGACAAATGGCTTTGCCCTTAACTCGAGGAGCTCATTTTAAAATAAAAGTAATAATGTCAGCCCCGTTATTTAGCGGCACCAGTTAAATGAGAACATGTGTGTAAATCTTTTCTCCGTGTTCCTAGATCATGGTAAAGGGTAATAAACTGTAGGTTTTTGTTATCATGCCATGATAATAATAGTAAAACTGATGTTGTTAATTGTGCCACCTATGTAGGAACTCCAGTATAGTGTGAAACCTATCAAAGTTTACTTTCTGTCCCCTTTGA